ACCTTTGGAAAGCTCTAAAAGAGCGTTATGATCAGCAAAAGGAACTCATTTGGCCTGAGGCTAATTATGAGTGGGTTCATTTATGCCTACAGGACTTTAAAACTATGGCAGAATACAACCATGCTGTTCATAACATTGTTCCAGGTTGAAGTTTTGCGAACAAGAGCCAACGGAGGCAGAGAAGATAGAGAAAACTCTATCAACTATGCTTCCGGAGGACAAGTTATTAACTCAACAGTATCGCGCTAACAATTTCCAGAAACATTCTCTGCTTATACATACATTGACTCAGGCAGAAAGACACCATTAGCTTTCTTTAAAGAATGCCCAACAGTGCCAACCGGGCTCTGCTTCACTGCCTGAGGTGCACTTCAATGTACAGAATAATGCTGAGAATAAGAAAGGATTCAAAGAAAATTCTTCGAATAATCCTAAGAATCTGACTAGAAAGCGCATACGCAACAACAACAGGCGCAAATTCAAGGGTCGAAAGAAAGGAAAAGGGAAGGGTTAGGCACCACAACCTCGTAGCAATGGCAACAAGCATTGCAACAGGTGTGGATCTGACACTCATGTCGCTAAAGACTGCCGCATCCCGAAACATCTTGTTCTCTTGTACCAAAAATCCCTCAAGGACAAAAAGTCTTCTGAGAACCCAAGATTTGAAGCCCACTTCAATCTTACACATGAAGAGCGCCCTGAGGTTGCAAGTTCTCACCAGGCTCCTGTTGAACCAGAGAGCAACCTCAATGTTCTCCCAGAAGATGTCGCTCCACTCTCTGTGATAGACGATATGTTCATCAAATACTGCTCAACGGACCCACTTGGAGATTTGCAATGATCTTGGTGCGTCCCACTTGGAGATGAAGCTGCTCTTATCTCAGTGTGCTTGCATTGAAACAGTATATTGATATCCTATAAGTTTGCCAAACAATATTGGTTGTAATAAGTAGATAAGTACGAACTCTCTTATATTGTAAGGTTGTATGGCTTGCTAGTCATTAGAGTATGTACTTTTAACATATGTAAACGTCATACTATGTATTTGATGTTTTAATTATTGTATGTATGTGTTTATATTGGATAAAGAATTCTTAATCAAGCAATTCTTCTTTCATTATAGATGTCTAATGATATCGCTCCGATTGGAGAGGAATTATGTCTTGTGGACAGTGGTACCACAAACTCTATACTTTAGGAGATCAAAGACTTTCAAACTCTCAAAAAGAGAGAAGGCAAAGTTTTGACTATCGCTGGGCGCGATACTGTGATAGTTGGCTCAGGACGAGCAATTATTACACTCCCAATGGGTACACAAATTACAATCGAGGATGCTTTATTGTATCATGATTCAACCCGTACCCTACTAAGTTACAAAGATATCTGTCAAAATGGGTTTCACATTGAAACCCATATGGATAATCGAGAAGAATTTCTTCTCTTAACCAAACAAAACGGATATGGCAAACGCATTTGCGAGAAAATTCCATCTCTCACATCGGGATTGAACTATACATACATTAAGCCCATTGCACATGTTGCGTACAAAGTAATTTTTCAAAATGTTGATGCATTCCACACTTGGCATGATCGACTTGGGCACCCCGGTATCGGGATGATGAGAAAAATTATTGACAACTCTATTGGTCATCATTTGATCACTGACAAATTTCCCAAATCCTCTGATTTCGTATGCACTGCATGTGCTACTGGGAAACTGATTTTGAGACCATCTTATCTCAAAATTAGAGCCGAACCACTTAAATTCCTTGAACGCATTCAAGGAGATATCTGTTGCCTTATTGTGCCAAGATCTGGACCGTTCAGGTACTTTATGGTTTTGATTGACGCATCTACTAGATGGTCTCATGTGTGTCTTCTATCGACACGAAACCATGCCTTTGCCAAATTAATGTCTCAAATTATAAGGCTGAAGGCAAATTACCCTAAACATAGGATTCAATTAATCCGTATGGACAATGCTGCCGAATTTACATCCCATGCTTTCGATGATTATTGTATGGCATTGGGAATTCAGGTTCAGCACTATGTTCGATATATCCACACACAAATGGTTTGGCTGAATCATTGATCAAAAGAATTAAGCTTATTGCTTGACCATTATTGATGAATTGCAAATTACCTTCGTCGTGTTGGGGTCATGCAGTTCTGCACGCTGCTGACCTTGTCCAACTACGACCAACTGCATATCATGAAACTTCCCCAATGCAGTTAGTACGTGGAAATCCTCCAAGTATTTCCCATTTGCAAAAGTTCGGTTGTGCTGTATACATACTGATCTCACCACCACAGCGTACTGCTATGGGCCCACACAGGAAAGTGGGGATCTATGTGGGATTCAAATCTCCATCGATCATAAAGTATTTAGAACCCTTAACAGGTGATCTATTTACTGCCCGGTTCGCTGACTCTATCTTTGATGAGGAACATTTCCCGGCATTAGGGAGAGACTTCAAGTACCAGAAAGAATGCCAGGAAATTGATTGGGATGTCCAAGGTATTCCCGCCTCAGACCCACGTACTACTGAAACTGAACTTCAAGTTCAGAAAATTATACATTTGCAAAGACTTGCAAATAACCTACCAGATGCATTTACCAATTATAAAGGTGTGACTAAATCTTTCATTCCCGCTAAGAATGCGCCAGAAAGAGTGGAGGTACCAAATAAAACCACTCAACTTCCACTCACTAAAAAGAGAGGAAGAAGTATGGCCACTCAGTGAGAAACAATTGCTTATAAGCAAAGAAAGACGGTAAATGCAAACCAACCTTTTGTTGGTACACACCAAATTGATACTATATATCAAGCAGATCGTGATAGTCTGCAACCTAGCTCGGTGGTGCACAATGCTGAGACTAGGAATTCGGAAGACTATAGGCACATTGTTTCGGGAAATCACGATGAGTCTATAAGGGTTTATGAAATTGCCATCAACTACTCTGAAACTGGAGAATTTTTTGATAGAAGAGCTACAATTGTCGACATTAATTTTTTCTGAACAAATTGCTGATTGCCTCCAAGTTGATCCAGAACCTAGGTCTATAAAAGAGTGCCAAAAGCGCTCTGACTGGAACAAATGGAAGGACGCAATTGACGCAGAATTAGCCTCGCTTTACAAAAGAGATGTATTCTCGGCTGTAATGCCTACTCCTCATGGTATCTTTCCTGTGGGATACAAATGGGTTTTCGTCTAGAAACGGAATGAAAACAACGAGGTGGTGAGATATAAAGCAAGGCTTGTAGCACAAGGTTTTACGCAAAAACCTGGCGTTGATTTCAACGAAACTTACTCTCCAGTTATGAGTGGTATAACTTTCCGATATTTAATATCATTGGCAGTACAAAATCGTCTATTTATGCAGTTGATGGACGTAGTGACAGCATATCTTTATGGGTCACTTGATTATGATATTTACATGAAGGTTCCTGATGGAATCGACATCCCGAATCAGAAGGTAAATCATAACATGTATTGTGTTAAGTTGCAGAAGTCACTTTATGGCTTAAAACAATCGGGCAGGATGTGGTACAACCGATTAAGTGAGTTCCTTTCACTAAAGGGATACACTAAAAACGATGATTGCCCGTGCATCTTTATCAAAAAGTCCCCCACAGGATTTTGTATTATCTCGGTATATGTCGATGATCTCAACATCATTGGCAATACACAAGATATTAATGAAGCACGTCATCATTTAAAGACGGAATTTGAGATGAAGGATTTGGGTCAAACCAAATTTTGCTTAGGTCTACAACTTGAGCATTTACCTTCTAGAATCCTTGTGCACCAAAGTGCATATACCTAGAAAATTTTGGAAAAATTTAATATGGACAAGTCATATCCTTCCAAAACCCCTATGGTGGTTCGATCTCTAGACGTGGAGAAAGATCCGTTTAGACCAAAAGAAGATGGTGAGGATGTACTTGGACCTGATTTTCCATATCTTAGTGCTATTGGCGCACTTATGTACTTTGCAAATAGTACGAGGCCAGATATTGCTTTCTCGGTAAAACTATTAGCAAGATACAGCGCTGCTCCTACCAAACGCCATTGGACTGGAGTTAAGAATGTCTTTCGATATCTTAATGGCACAAGAGATCTTGGACTTTTCTTTAAAAAGAATCAGGATTCGACTTTAATTGGGTATACTGATGCTGGCTATCTATCTGATCCCCACAACACCAGATCACAAACAGGATTCGTATTTTTACAAGGTGGAACTGCTATTTCATGGAAGTCTTCTAAACAGACTCTAGTAGCCACTTCCACAAATCATTCTGAAATAATTGCATTATATAAGGCATCACGTGAATGTGTATGGCTTCGCAGTATGGTTAACCACATATTAACATCTTGTAGTATTGGTTCATTGGAATCACCTACCATTATCTATGAAGATAATGGCGCTTGTGTTGTTTAGATGGAAACTGGTTATATTAAGAGCAACATCACTAAGCATATTGCTCCCAAATTATTTTATCCTCATGAGCTTCAGCAACATGGAGAGATAAACATCTTGCAAACTAAGTCATGTGATAATCTTGCTGATTTATTCACAAAATCTCTACCATACTCCACATTCTTTAAATGTGTCGAAGGAATTGGTATGAGACGACTTAAACATTTGCAGGATTCAGGGGGAGTATCTTCCTCTGGAAAATAACCTATTTTCGTCATATTATACTCTTTTTCCTTTGTATGAGTTTTACCCTTTAGGTTTTCTCATCCAAACTTTTTAACGAGGTAATATCAATATAAGCTTATATGTCTTATCATTTGGCTTTTCCCCACTGGGGTTTTTACTAAATGATAATTGTAGACATTATACTATTTTGGATCATACTATGAGCTTTACTCATAGATCTAAAATAGTCAATAATATATATCACGATTCTCTCCTTATTTTTCCCACTGGGTTTTCGAGGAGTTTTACGTGATGTAACTATAATTATTTCTAAGATTATCTTAATTTACAGATATCTGGAACAATGAAAGAGCAATGATCAAAGCTGGATTCGATAAAGGGGGAGTGTTATGAAACAACAGGGTGATCTCATCCATATAAAAGGATGGATCACAACCGAAGGCAACCGCGCCTCTTCCCAACCATCGCGTCTCCGGTTGCCACCCCTTCCCCATCTATATATTGTACCGTATTGATCAATAAAAGATTCCGCTCATTCATTTCCTACATTCTTGTGTTAAATTCTTGTGTTAATTTCCGCTCAATCAATTTTATACACTTTCAACAGTGATAGCATTGGGCTTGGTATAAACTTCTACAGCTCAATCGAGAAAGCATGAGTAGGGTTGTTATCCTTCAAAGGCTTGAACCTGGTTAAATCTATTATGTTTGTTAGTTAGTTCAGTGTTAAACTAGCGCATTCCAGTGAAATAAAGCAAATTGGACTCTGATCAAGATTTGCTTACGCGGTACATACTTTAAAATCATACTTTATTTTTGAAAAAAAAATCACCGTGTTTAGCAGTTCAGAAAGTGTACGTGTAAAAAACGAGAGAGTAAAAATTGAGAATAGATGGTGAAGAAGATAGCTCCGGTTCTTACAAATGAGTAATTTATCAGGTTTCACGTGCACATAGATGAGGTAGCTAGTACCCATTCGTTCTAAAATAAATTAATATAGTATATAAATCTATACACGGTTCAGATTTACTATCTCCATCAGAATATAAGTATAATTATGGGTTTCCTTGTCCAACGTTTAACCGTCCGTCTTATTTAAGAAAATTATGATTAGTATTTTTGTTATTATTAAGTGATAGAACAAACTTTTTTTAAAAAAGTTTTCATAAATTTTTTAAATTAGACGGACGGTTAAATATTGGACACGAAAACCCATAACTGCAGTTATATTGGGAGGGAGGTAGTATAGTACTCCCTCCGTTTCAGGTTATAAGATATTTTGACTTTGGTCAAAGTCAAGCTGCTTCAAATTTAACCAAGTTTATAGAAAGAAATAGTAATATTTTTAACCCAAAATAAATTAATTATAAAATATATTTAATTATTAATTTGATATAACTAATTTGGTAATATAAATATTACTATATTCCTCTATAAACTTATAAACTTAGTCAAACTTAAAACAAACCAAAGTCAAAACACTTATAACCTGAAACGGAAGAAGTACTAACAGAGTAGAGTAGTTGTGTTATTTGTGGACTAAGGCTGTGTTTAGTTGCACAGGCAAAAAAAAATTACTGGATCACATCAGATATATGGACACATATTTAAAGTATTAAACATAGACTAATAATAAAACAAATTACATAATCCACGTGTACACTGCGAGACGAATTTATTAAGCCTAATTAATTCATCATTAGGAAATGTTTACTGTAGCACCATATTGTCAGATCATGGCGCAATTAGGCTTAAAAGATTCGTCTCGTAATTTACACGTAAACCGAACTGTGTAATTGATTTTTTTTAATATTTAATATTCCGTATATGTGTTCAAACGTTGAATGTAATGGGAAAAAAATTTTGCCGGTGGATCCAAAACCCCCTAAAAAATAATCATCAACTTGTGGTTGTGCGGGCCAAGTTGCCAACGTTAATCCATGGCGGTAAGCAAAGGCCACTCGCAGCTTCACACTGTGTGACGCCGATGCCATGACGCAAACACATGCTATGGATGGTGATGTAATCTGTCAGATTAAGTAATTCTCGTAATTTTATTTGCGTGGGAGCGGTTTTCCAAACAACTTGCATGTCAACTAGCAAGTCTGTGAGCAACGCTGCCTAGCTATTAGTTAGCGACGACACAGAGCATCGAATCTTGGCATGCCACTAATCTCTGCACGCCACAAAATTAATCAATCGAAACAGTCAACAGTTTCAGACAAGCGTTTGTACTATACTTAATTACAACTCTCTCCGTCCCAAAATATAAAAAATTAATCGTCAATAGTTTCAGAAAAGAGTTTGTACTGTACTTAATTACTACTCCATCCGTCCTAAAATATAGCAACATGTGACCCATATGGACATATGGGGTGCACATCCCCTCCTAGGTTGAGTCCACATGAGTCACAGGTTACTATATTTTAGGACGGAGGGAGTACATGTTATCCGCACAAACCGACCTTTGCAGTAATATGGAGTATTTATAAGGGTTTCCGTTGTGCTATGCACACAGACAAACCTCGTGTTGTCTCTTAATACTATCTCGTTTCATCAAACGCCTATGTTACTACTTTTTGGTCCATCCGAATTACCTCTGCGTTCTGCCTGTAAAAGTTCTTGATGGAATTTCCAGGTTGACTGAATAGTTTTTCTTTAATTCAAAAATAGTTCTTTTTTTAGCCAACAACAAAGGTACTTCATAGATTTTTCCTCAGAAAAAATGCGGTCGGCCTTTTTTTTAAGATGTATAAACCGAAAAGTTTAATCCTAAATAAACAAGCAGCTTTCATGTAGCTTTTTTAAAGTCAAAACTAACTTTTACACTGTGAAGCTAAAAGTTTCTTTTTTACTTATGTGAAGTGGAAATTTGTGTGGCATGGTTCAAATTTTTCCTATATTTAATTGAGACTTCAAAACCACCCGCTTATAAAACATTCAAACATATAAGAAAAGATTGGCATAAAAATCGAAACCAATAAATCTAAACCCGAACAAAGGGAGCCTAATTTGCTGATGCAAGAGCCAGCTGGAGGCTGGATGCACGGGATATCTTCTCTATCTTTTTTTTGAACGGAAAAACAGCACTAGAGTGCCTTTTTATTGAATAGAGCAGAAGAAAATACAACCCCTTGGGGCAAATGAAAACGTTGAACACTGTAGCTATGCTCTATACATAGTGCGGGATTAACTCGCGCAGCCGCTTAGCCCCTGCTAAAGCCCAAAGGCTAGCCTCTTCTTTGATTCTCGACAGGAGGAAACTCGTTGCCACCTCTTTGTGGTCAAAGATTCGCCGATTTCTCTCATTCTAGATTTCCCATATGACTAGCAGGATGAGTGATCGGAGCCCTTTTTTCGGAACATTTGGCGTGTTTGCAAGGCTCTCCCACCATTGTTGAACTGACTATGCCTCCTCCCATTGAGCTGACTCTATCTGCTGATAGCCCACCCATCCAGCAACAAGGCCCCATATTCTTTTGGTGTATCTACAAGTGGCAACGAGGTGCAGCACCGTCTCAGCCTCACAGCGGCACAGAGGACAACAACCGTTGTTTTGCCAACCCCTGGTCGCAAGTCGATCTGAAGTCCAGACTCTATTTTGGATGATGAGCCAAGCGTGAAATTTGCATTTCCCCGGCACTCAAACTTTCCAGATTAAGGAGTTGAAGCTTGTGCTCGGCGTTCCTTGGCATTGCGCATGGTAGGCCGAGGAGGCCGTGTAGCATCCGCTACTTGTGGATTTCTAGGTAATCTGGTCTGGTTCTCCAATGCCTAAGTGAACATTCTGGACCGCTTACCACAGGGCAACTAGTTGTTCGACGAGGTCTACTGTAATAGGTGAGTGCGATTCCAGGGCCAGGTCCTGAACGCAGGCGTCCTCCTCCTTTCCATTTCGAAGAGATCTCCTCTGTTTTTAGAGATCGCATAGACTAGCGGCATGAGGTCTTTGGGTCTTTGCCCCTCGATCCAGGCGGAGTCCTAGAAGCGCGTCGTGTTCCCATCTCCAATTGTTATCTTTGTTGAGGCGGCGAAAAGATTCCTTTCAATTTCATCGCAGGGCGTTTCTAGTCCCACCCAAGGTTTGGTTGGGTCCTTCCACTCGTGCCATAGCCATCGCAGCCTCAAGGCCCTCGTGAATTTCTCCAGATTTAGGACTCCCAAGCCTCCCTAACTGGTTGGCAATCACGCCTTTGTCCAGTTGACTTTACATTTCCCTCCGGTGATGTCTCCCGTGCCGGCCTAGATAAAGCGACGGCACTGGTTTTCTAGCTGCTCGAGGGATTCCTTCATAGTTTTCAAGGCAGTCAGGAGATAGATAGGCTAGGCCGTAAGCACAGATTTGACGAGTGTGGTTCTTCCAGCTGCTGCCATGTTTTTCCCCGTCTAATTTGTTATCCTTCCTAAGATTTTGTCGAAGACAGGCTGCAAATCCGCCTTCCGTAGTTTACCCAATACCAAGGGGAGGCCCAAGTACTTTATGGAGAAGTTTGCCCTTGCCGCCGGGACGCCCTCAAGAACCTCTGTCAACTCAATGCCGTCACATCTGATGGCCGCCACTTGGGATTTCTGAAGGTTGGTGACGAGTCCAGTGGCAGTGCCAAAGCGATGTAGGATATCTACAAAATCTGTGACATCGCCTCGGGTGGGATTAATGAAGATGACGGCGTTGTCTGCATACATCGAGATCCTTAGTCGGGTCGTTCTCCCCCGCAACTTTGAGATTGTGCCGAGCTCTGCTGCCTTGGAGAGGATTCGCTGCAGGGGGTTAATTGCAAGTATGAATAGCAGTGGTGAGAGGGGGTCCCCTTGCCTAAGGCCTTTGCCATGCTTGATCCACTGCCCTGGCAAGCCGTTGAGGAGTACTTGAGAGGTTGAAGTTGACAGAATAGACCCTAGCCAATCTATCCATCTTGTTGGGAAACCCCTTCGCTGTAGCAAGGCTAGAAGGTAGTCCTAGCGGACTGAATCGAAGGCCTTAGTTAAGTCTAGTTTGAAGAGCAACATTACCCGCCTCAGGCGGTGGTGTCTTCTGGCCATGTTTCTCACAAAAAGGAAGTTGTCATGAATGCTTCTTCCTTTTATGAAGGCGCTTTGGTTGACCGAAATCAACGTATGCATGTATGACCTTAGCCGCACCGCAAGCATCTTGGAGAAGATCTTGGCGATACTGTGAATGAGGCTAATTGGCCTATAGTCCACGACCCCCTCGGCCCCTTCTTTTTTTTAGGTATTAGGACGACGTTCGCGGAGTTGAGCAGATTCAGGTGTGCACATCTGAGGTTGCAGATGGAATCGAAGACCAGAAGAATGTCCTCTTTGATGATTTCCCAGTAGACTTTAAAGAAGATCCCTGTGAAGCCGTCTGGCCCTGAGGCTTTGTCGGTGGGCATTTCCTTGATGGTGCACCTCTTGCTCTGAGAAGGGCTCCCCTAGAGTGGTTAGGTCGATTGGCGAAATGTCGAGAGCTTCCCAATTTGGCTCATTTGGCCTTGGCTCCGGCTGCCCCATTATGCTTGCGAAGTGGTCATGAATTGTTGCCTCCT